CATTGATATGTTTTTTTTTTTCAAATTTTTATGATATTTTAAAATTTATATTTTATTCAAAAATAAAATTATTATTGTTTTCTTAAAAACATATAATCTATATTGTATTATAAAGCATTTGACAAAAACTTTTAAAACCATTTTTTATGCGTAAAGTACTATTTATTAATGCATATTACTTAAAACTTAAGATTACAAGTGGATTGTATGTAAGTACAACTTATTAAAGTTCCATATTTGAATTTGTGTTACTAACTGCAGATAAACATAATCAAATACAGGATAAACATCTCATTTTAAATATAAAAAATCTAAAATAAAATTAAGATAATCATTAAGTTCTAACAGAATACTTAATTACTAGCTTTATAAAACGTTATATTCTTAAACCAGAAATAAATTATTTCGTTACTAAACTTAAATTAAATTATAATAAAAAAATAAATTAAAGAAATTACATAAAAAATGAGAACTTTTAAATAGTTGATTTAATATTAACATTGATATATTTGTTTTCAAATTTATATTTTATTCAAAAATAAAATCATTATTGTTTTCTTAAAAACACATAAAATTGTATTATAACATCGACAAAGACAAATAATAAAATAGAACATTAAAATCGATATATGTCTCGCTGCATTGCGTGAGTACTCTTCTAGTTAATTTTTATAAAAATAATAATTAAGTATTCTGTTAGAATTTAATGATTATACTAATTATATTTTAGATTTTTTATATTTAAAATGATATGTTTATCATGTATTTGATTGTGTTTATCTGCAGTTAGTTACACGATCAGATTTGGGATGAAATCGGATAGAGATGAAATTGTTTAGGGATGAACGAGTTTAAGAGTTTTTAAGAGTTTTAGCCAAATGTTTTATTTTTATAAGATAGTATAGATTTATGTTTTTCTATAAAAGTCTTTATCAACTTATTATAAGTTAGAATAATTTAACTTCTTCAAAAACTCATTATTACCGATTTGGCACCGGTATAAGTTGTTATCCAAACACTCAAAAGAACTTATTATCGGTGTCATACCGGAATAAGTCAATAAATTATTTTTATAAGCAATCTCAAACACCCCCTTAATATTTATTTTATTTGTTTAATTAATAGATAAGGTCATAAGGGTGTATTAGTAATTTGAATAATTATAATCTAAATATTAATTTTTTTACAGTTATCCATCAAATATTATTTTCCTTATTTTTCTCAACAAATTGAATCACGAGCATTTCTAATTAATATCAAGAACACCATAAAGTGTGTCCGACTGTGTGTGTTGAGAGAGATATATACGTAAATCATGAGAAGTAGTTTGCACTTGATCATGACTATTGAGAGAAGTGTCATTTGTGAGCGGTAAAAATGAGAACATTATTATGATTATAGTTTTCATCACCATATATGATCACTTGCTCTGATAAACTGTAAATCGGTAGTATCAGTAGAACTCGCATGAAAAAGATAGGTTATACTTATACCGTAGAAAGCTAAGGCCAAGGGAAATTGAGGAAACACGTTTACATGCAGATTTTATTGAATCAAGATAGTGTCAAGATGGCATTGACGGTGTCTACAATAGGCGCCTTCGTGTATTGCGGGGAATAAATATTTCCTTTCTTCGAATCTTGATTTGGGTGTCACAGTGGTTACGTGTGGTCTAAAACCTAGATCAGATCTTGTCTCCAACCATACGCAGAACGGTATCATAATGGGTATCACATGGTGTATTACAGTCGGTTTGTGTCTTACTGTTTAGAAATTATTGGGTATCACAATGGTGTACGTTAGAATAAGTTTCGTCAGAGTAAAGTTCACCGGAAAGAGGAGAGAGATTTACAAAAAAGACTAATTTACCCTTGCTATCCATAAATTTATTTATTTTTTGAAAATAAATGGATAATTATCAAAATTAATATTTGTAATAATAGTCATTGATTATTAGTAATGTGTGATTGAGACTGGATCTAGGTGGTAGAGGGCTTGGTCATCGATGAGGACGACTACACTGGGGTTTCTCCAACGAGGGAGGGGAAAGGGGTGAGACGATAAGAGATGTGTGCCGTCAGTCACTGTCGTCGATGACTTGTCGTGGAGGAGGGACGCTATTGACTACTGATTATTGAGGAGTTGATTCGGAAACAATGTGAATGCATATATTCATGCAAATATTTTCAGCTTTTATGATTCAGATCGATATTACACTTAAATTTTGCAACAAAAAAAGTCCATGAAACG